ACGATGGAAGATAGACGGAAGCATTGGTGAGCAACTGGCAATAAGTGGCCACACACCTGAACTCATGGTAAACCGTCGCAAATCATATCCAATTCAAATCATATTTCTATTCAGAAATTTAATTAGAGAATAGTAGCATCGGTGAGAGGTATAATCGGCCCTCAGTTTCATAGGTCTTCGAATCGCAGAATTGAACTAGCAATCAGGTTATCACACACCACCTCTCTGACTGCCGGGTTGTCATGAAAACTATTTTTTCTTAATAAAACTTTAAGAAGAATCGTGTTGACTTATCAAGGGAGAACATGGTTATCATCAAAGAGCAGAGAATAAGAAAAAATTTAGAAATAGTATGGTTTGCTTGATTTTTTCTCTTGATGAAGAGCACGAATCTTTTTTTAAACTACAAAAGGGGTATATCAATGCAGTGCTAATTCATTAATTGAAAGTAAACAGGTATATGACACCAGTCTTTTTTTTGGTTTCCCCTCTCTCTTCTAAGACGAATAGTTTGGTGGCAAATTGTTGTTCTGCAGTGTTTTAATGATCAGGGAGTTTTTAGGATTACAGTCGCAACTAGTCCAGAATTTTCACCTAGCCAAAATTGGTGGAACTCAACATTCCTATAAGGAGATTCAGGCGCCAACTGTTTGATATAATTTTCTATGGTTTTTCAGTCAAACAGTACAAAAGCCAGAATATACTGTGTACAAAACAGGCCATGCACAAGACTTTCCTTCCTCATCTTAGTTCCCTCTCCCTTGCACAATCCCTTATATTTATTACATAATGTTGGAAAACCCAGTCATGACTTAAATTTTGTTCTGTGGTGAGAGAGGAAACCTGCTGGTGGGACTGCTGAAGGAGAGAAAAACCATTGTCTTATATTTACCATACTTCAATTTTCACATTTTTTGTTTTACATTTCAAGACTTCCTGGTGCTACCTGAAATATCTGTATTTGTTAATAATTATATATATTCTTTCCATTATTTTACAGATTATCCATATAAGCTCTATTAAATAGTGGTACACTAAATGTTATTGTATATTTTTAAGTATTTGTCACAAGCTTGAGCAGATATTGTCGAACTACAACGCTTGACTTGGATTCTTTGCTCGCCATTCTGACATACTCAGAAAGCATCTGTCAGATGGTAACTCAGACAACTTACAACATCTGAACTTCGCATGGTGCGATCAACATAAAAGAATCACGGTATGGTCAAAACATTAATTTATTATTAATAATTACTATAATGCTTAATCACTATGCTAATGGCATAATACTTAATAAATATTGAGTGTATCTAATTAATTAGAGCCGTCAAGTTACTCATATTATATTGCTATATCTCAGAATACAAGCTTCTTCTTTTCAAGATATCAGAAGATTTATTTAATATAAGTAATTTCATCTGTATTTCTATTTAGACAACATATCTTTATATTTTCTCTAATTTCAACTCTTGTGACAAAGGAAGAGAAATTTAATTTAAAATGCTTCGATGAACAAACTATATTTGAGTTTGACTTACGGTGGGCAAAATGAATTGACATATTAAACTCTGTGAAAAGGACTTGCACATTAATATCTGAAGGCAGTTTCCACATGCTCACAATGTATAGGGTTTGTGATATTTTTAGAATAGTTTTGAGGAAAGTCTGATGTGTTGATACAGTGTGAAGGGGCGCTGCACTTGGCTGCTTACTCGGTGTCTTCATTTGTAAAGCTGCTTACAACTTCAAGACACACAGTTGCGTGTTAGCAAAAATTGTCCAACTTGGCAGTGTGAACCTGCATGATGCTTGAGTGTTTTGTTTAATCTTTTTTAAGCACATTTCTTCGTTTTCAACGTTCTTAAGGTAAAAATGATATAAATGTTCTTTGAAGTTTGCTTTTCTGCATGGCTAATTACAGTATTTTTGTTGTGTTTAGTTTCTTTTTTTTCTTCAGGCAATAAGAAATTATTAAACTATTTTTGTCTCTCTTGGAAATTGTCATAGACTTATTTTTCTTCAACGTGAGAAGTGACATAAACTGTGAATACAAAGCTTTTTCTTTCTAAGTTGTAAATACTATATTTTAAGTAGAATATAATAATAATAAATGCTACATCTGAGGACATGCTATCAGACAATTAGGTATATTTTAGTTAAATATTCTTCTATTGAACCTAACATAATTAATTAATTGCTTATTGCCCTAACAAAGCTGTTAATTTAGTGCTAATATTCTTAACTACTGATATGGTTTGTGTTATAATCCAATATGAATATTGAATCATGTATGTATCAATATGAAATTTAATGAATTTCACAGTAGCAAATTGATCGTTTTGCATTTCATAGGTACTAAATAGTAAGTAAATGTATATATTTGCAAAGAGTTAAGATGCATGTTAACTATTGTAGAAAATTATTCAAAGAAGCATATCAAAATAAGTGAAGAGGTTTTCCCTCATAATATCAAAATATCATAACCTTAATCCTCAGGTATGGTGATGTCAGGAGTATGTAATAACAAATGTGAGTAAGCACGATTTACATAGTGAGGTCTTAGGCATACAATCTGTATCAGCTAGGTTCCTCTGATTGAGTATACGGTCCCATAAATTTGTAAATTGTATGCAAAATATAGTGGCACATTACAAATGCAGGAAAAAGAGTAGAGAGTGTTCTGCAGATTCCTTACCTCGTGGAGCAAGCCTGACATGTCTAAAGATATTCTCAATGATGGACAGAGTTAAATGTGCAATATTAGTATGAAAGCAAAGTTCGCTAATGCTTTCATTTCTTTTAGTGTCACGTTCATCTAGCATTTATGTGAGAGATGATACTATTAAGCTAAGATAAGTGCATTAACTCTGTAAAGCAATAATGAAAATTTTAGGCATTAAGAAGAGAAATGGGTATTTCACTACATAACGCGAACATTGACGTTAATTACCTTTCTTTTCTGCTAGGATTGCAAGCCACTACAAAAGTAGTGTTGACATTACATGTAATGATACAGTATCTTTAATCCTTAAAGAATAAAGCATCTCTTAATGTTGTGAATTAATGGTGCTATTGAGGAAACCCAAAAAAGAAAAAATAAAAAATAGATAAAAATAAAGATATATAGATAAAAATAGATAAAAAAAAATAGAAACCTCGAACCACTTATCAAAGCACCAGTAGAGTATCACATACATAGAATGATAGGAATAGATAATAAAAAAAAAAAAAAATAATAGAGAAATAATAAAAAATATAAAAATTGTGATTAATTATAATAATATAATATTTATGAGTAATATAAAAAAAAAGAAAGAAAAATAAAAAAATAAAAAAAAAATAATAAAAAAAAAAAAAAAAAAAAAAAAAAAAAAAAATAATGAAAAAGGAGGAACTGAACAACAACTGATCAAGATCGATCATTGGCATAGAATAAAATAAATGTAAGCAGACGATTAATTATACAAGATATATTATTGCTAATAATTAACATTCAATGATATTTGTAATGCTATATTATTAATTAATAATAATATAATAATATAAATAAGTACATTAATAATAATATAATACATTAATTTAATAATTACCATATAATACATATAATTATGTTTGCACACAATTCAATTTAACATATAGTAGACATTCTATATTATAAACTTGAAAATGGTGAGAGGTAATGTTTGACCAGTTTTTTCTTCTATTTAACAAGGATGGATAAGGCAGTTCTTTTTCTTTTGCTTCAATGAAACAGTTCACATGAAACAAAAAGTTAAATGAATAAGAAATTCTATTATATTTATTTCTAGGAAAGAATTTGGAAAATTCTTATACAAACCCGATAAAAAAATAAAAAAAAAAAAATAAAATAATAAAAAATATAAGAAAAAAAAATAAGCATAATGTTGTATAAGTGTAATGCCTCTAATTAGCACCACACGATACTTTTTTGATAAACGTGTAAGTATTAACAGAGTGGGAAGTAGGTTATCTTCATGAGAAGATAGTATAAGAAATAATAAAACAACACAGCCTAGCTATAAAGAAATCATACACATAATTAGAAAAAGAACTAAAAATATATAAATAAAAAAAAATAAAAAAAAAAAAATAAAAAAAAACCTTAGTTCTTAAACAAGGGTTTGCAAGACTACAGCTAAACATTGCTAGATCAGTTCGCAATATTACTTAGGAATAAAAAAAAAAAATAAAGCATTTCAGGGCATTCCCCCAGAATTTATTCCATATTTCAGTATAGAGTGCACATTATTCAAAATAAACAATAGATTAAAAGATGTGCTCAATGTTGGAGCTGACCTAAGAGGGAGTATAAGGGCATAGCAAAAGATTGCTGAGCTCTGATAGATTTGCAAGATGGTGAGTGTTCATTAACAAGTCTTTCCATTACGACTAAGTAGTCCAAGGAAGGTAGTTCATGAAGAATGATCTTATACGAGGGTTATATGTTTATGCACAAATGCTGTGAGAGTTTTTCTTTAGATCGAGGATTCATGAAATTTAGAGAGACTGTCTTGCTCGTGTGTATGATGAGTTTGTTGTCTTGAAACCATTTTACATTTTACAAACCATATAACATTCCTTTTCAAAGAAAAAGAAAGATGTAACTTGAAACAAATGAGTAACATTACTATCTTAACTAAGACATTTACTTTGATTATTTTACATGAATTGCAATTCATCCTCACTGCCCGTCGACAATAACTGTTGTTATCATCGTTGATAAAAGTTTGAATGATACACGCTTGATATAACCCCATAATTAAGCAATACTTCATTATGGTATCCATATTGAAGTAGTTTCATTAATTACTACGAAATGCATTGTGAAAATCATATTGTTTTTGTGAAGAAAATCTGTTCTATGTTAAGGACTATTATGATTTTACAGGAAAATGTTAATGCAATGTGAATACCTCCATTAGAGAATTTTAAAAAAATGTAAAATTCAATCTTAGATCGTGTGTCCTATTTGAATTTAGAACATCACTGATGATGCTGTTCAACAATTGGCTGAAAACTGCCCCAAACTTCACTACCTCTGCCTCAGCAACTGCACTCATCTCACAGATAGCTCGTTGGTGCTGCTGGCCCAGCACACTCCCCTTCTTGCCACCCTGGAGGTGGCTGGTTGTTCGCAGTTCACTGACACTGGCTTCCAGGCTCTTGCAAAGGTAAGATATTGAGTCATCTTCTCCTAATAGTTTATTAATTCTAGTATTTTTATGTAGTTTATTTATTTACGATTTGACCATGTACACAGGTATGTCTAAACCACTAGAAGAGAGTTTCAAAAAAGGTAATAATTAGAATTCAGTAAAAAGAGTATTATAAAACAAAAATGTAAAACTGAACATTAAAGATGATGTTGATGATGACAATAATGAAATGAAATTTATGAGCAATGATCAAAGAGAAAAGCCAGCTGAGAAAACGTAGCCCTTCCTGTGAGACACGCCAACCTCTTGGCAACAGTATAGCTCTGAAGAAGGCACCAGCAAGATGGCCGAAACTTCAGCACCATTGACCGCGATTGCTCATCGCGGATAGCCAAGAATGTATTGACTCCGGCAGCGGAAGCCTACGGACGCATACAACGAACCTCTACGGGGAGTGTATGTTTAAATCCACCAGAAGATTCAGCCAACTGAGAATTGCTCGCGCTAAGAGGCTCTGTCTACTCGCTTTCCTTTTACGTTGCCGCGACTGTAACGTCCTTCCCAAATTTCTCAATATTTCCCATCACATCAAGACCAGAGCGGCTCTACGGATCTTCCGGCTTACCAGCGAATATCTACTACTAGAGCGCATCCATCATACACGATCGGATATCGCGACTATTGAGCGGGAACTCTTCAGATTGCACCTGAATATCAGCCACACCTTGCGGCCTGAAGACTGGGACAGACTATCGTCCATCAACGCTGTTAGTTCGCGAGAAGCCGTCATGTGAGAAAATTCACATACTTACAGCAAAAATGTGCTCGGCCGGAACCCCAAGTCGTCCTCCGTAACACAGCAGTCAACCTGACCAGCGAAACATTTGACACTGCTACAACAACTGTACTCTCCCGAGGGCTCAATTTCGCCGTCACCCCCAAGCACATACCCGATGACGTCATCGCCGCTGTGAAAACAGCTTTGCGTAGGCTACCGGAAGATCTTGCTGATGACATACGACGGGATACGAGCGCAATTCTGACCCGCGCCACTCCCCCAACTTGTAATATCTCCCGTGATGAGAGATTGGCATTCAAACACCTCACGCAGCGAAATGACAGCGTCATTCTGCCAGCAGATAAAGGCAACACCACTGTAATCATGGAAAGTGGCGAATACCATGCCAAGATGACCAACTTACTCAGTGACCTGACAACTTATCAGAATCTGGACCACAACCCATAACGTAAGGTGAGGCAACAAGTCATGTCCAGCATAAATGAGGCCTCTTCCATTAGCGACCAAGATAGGGAAATTCTCAAGTACGCCAACTACCGCATACCGCACATCTATGACCTCCCAAAATCCACAAACTCGAAGTTCCTTTCCGTTCGATAGTATGTGCCATCAACCCAACATTTAGTAATTTTCTTGGCCAACAAACTGAAACCTCTTACCAACCATTTGCCGTCCTCCGTCTTCAACTCCACACACTTCATCGAACTCATCCGCTCCACTAGAATACTCCCTGATGATATCCTGGTCAGTTTCGATGTTACCTTTTTTTTCACTAGGGTGCCAGAAAGTGGCGCTATCCAGATCGTAGCAGACAGCCTCACGCTACATCAGCTTCCGAGGGAGTGGGCCCAGCTTACTGAGATCTGCCTTACGATCACCTTCTCCAATACTGACTAGAGTTTTATGCTCAGACAGAAGGCCCCGCTATGGGCTCACCGCTGTCCCCGGTCGTCGCGAACGTATTCATGGGAGCTTTTGAAGAGCAGGCTCTAGAAAACGCGCCCCTAAAACCATCGCTATGGCTGCGTTACGTCGACGATACATTCGTCATCTGGCCCCATGCCTTCAAACCTTCGTCGCACACCTCAACAGCACCCATCCTCGCATCAACTTTACCATGGAAACAGAAGAAAACTGGCAGCTATCTTTCCTGGACGTGCTAGTGACCAGGCGCCCTGACGACACACTCAGTCGATCTGTCTACTGCAAACCCACCCACACCAATCGCTACCTACATGCTGTCTCACACCACCATCCTGCTACGAAACGTGGTGTCCTTTCCACACTTACTCACCGGGACTCCCTTATATGTGACCACAACAGCCTGGCGTCCGAGAAGGTACTGCTGAGGAAGACCCTTCTGGCTAATGGCTACAGCGGATCCGCTGTGCGCTATCGAGGCTCCACTCTACCACCCCGAATGCACGCAACGAACCTTCCAGCCCGCCCCGCAAGACAGCCCGATTGCCTTGCATCAAAGGAGTCACGGACAAGATCGGTAGATTATTGTGCAGAGCTGATATCCGCCCCGTGTTTCACGCTCGCAACAATATCGGGAGGAGCCTAGTACAGGTAAAGGATCGTCTAGACCCTCAAGATGCCGGTGTGTCTGGAATCCCATGCAGCTGTGGTCTAGTTTACATCGCACAAACCGGGCGCACGGTAGAAGAGAGTATGCGGGAACACATGCGACATGACAAGTTTCAACATACCGACAAATCGGCCTTGGCCCAACACACCGCGGAAACGCGCCACCTCGTCAATTACCACGAAACCCGCACCATAACAACAGAAGACCGGTGGTGGCCTCGTTTGATCAAAGAGGGTTTGGAAATCTCTAGGAGGCCCACAAACCTCAGTAGAGATGACGGGCTCCGTTTTAGCAACTACTGGAGCTCCCCGCCAATCCGGTCCCGCCCCACCGTGGCGTGGCCGCCCTTTGGGCCGTTCTTTTTCGGGTTTTCCGCCCGTTCCCCCCACATAGATGCATCTTCCAGGTGTCTATCTTGTTCAGTTTTCCATTATCTACCCTTTCTGCACCATTCACCTCTTCCCACATCATCTGGTCACCCGCCATCGCCCCTTTTCCTTCTTTTTGTTTCTGATGTGTTAGACATTTGGAATGGGAGGACATGTATTGTGTGTTTTATTTTGCACTATATCATCAGTGTGTTTTTGAAGTTATTTATTGTTTCTAAGGCTTCATTACACTCAACATTTACATGCATTTTACAATCTTTTATTAACTCTTCCAGTGTAAAAGATCATTTTTATGACATTGCTTAACCAAAGTTAAAAGAAATACAAAAAATGAAGTGTTAATATTTCCTTTTTGCTACATTTAATGTTGACAGCATTTTGTTAACTGTCACAGTCATAATACAAATACCAATTGTTGCTCTGTATCTATCAGAATAACCTTAATTGGAAAGCGCTTATTTTTAGATATCACATTTTATTCATTTCATTTTTAATTAACACTTAGCAAACATTTTTGTGGTTATTATTTTTTAGATACAAAGATTGCACTGGGAGTAAACATAAACACAAAATAAGCGGTTATTATATTAGTAGTTTTGGGAAACTTTACTCCAGATCTCCTGTCACCACTGAGAACATCAACTGTCGAAAGTGTATCTTACTGATACAATGCAACCGATGGAGGTTTAATTTTTCATATATTTGTTCTAAATATCCTATCATTTGTATTAGATATTCATTGTCATCTAATGTAAAATACTTTTAAATTAACATCTTTATTTTCTTGTATAAATCTAATTGTTTCATACAATTTGTTGCCTGTTTCCATATTCAAAGCAAAATTACCAAAAAAATACTTAATTTCTTACTGTTCATGGTATTTGTCAACTTTTTTACAGGCATGTCATATGTTGGAAAAAATGGACTTGGAAGAATGTGTGTTAATAACTGATGCTACTCTCATCCATCTAGCAATGGGTTGTCCCCGCCTTGATAAACTAGTACGTATGTAAATATTGATGAAAGATTTTCTTAAGACAAAAGGAATGATTATTATATTTTATATCATTAATTATTATGTTTTAAATTTTATATGTGTGTATAAGCAATATGTAAATTTCTGCTCTTCCATTCATGCCTTCTCTCTTCTCAATTGCTATGGAAGATGTCCTGCTTCACACATTCAAGTGTTATATAGAATGTGCTTCATTCACTAAATAATGGCAAAATATTTACAAAAATCATGAATTTTGAAGATGGTGAACTTCAGTTCATATTTTATTAATAACACTATATTTCTTACTATTCCTCTGTAAAGAACTTTCAAATAAAACTATATTGCTACAATTATGGTTTCTCCTCTTTTGATATGCAAGGTTGTATCTTGGGATATTGCTTATTTGCTGAGCAATAGGAAAGGCAATGATGGAATTACTATTGTTCCATTGTAAGCAAATGGCATCTTTCTAATCTCCCAGGTCACAAACTTTACCAGCAACTAACCAAATGTGCATTTTCCATCTCATTCCGATTTACATGTTCCGAGTTACATAATGATGAAACTAAATTTGTTTCCATCTAATCTCTTCGGTTATATCCAATCTATTTGTTTACTTGCATTTTTTATGTATGTAAATATGATGAATTATGAGTAAATAAGGCCGGATTAGAAAATAAATTGCCCGTTGCTAACCATTAAGAATTACATATTATTATTCTATTTCATTCCTGAAATCAAACCTTACTTATTGATATTCCCTACATTTAATTTTACCATATAATTGCATATCTCAGTACAATTTGTGGAAAACATTTCTCAAAATTACCTTTATCAAGATGTAATGCTAAGAGCCCAATTTTCTTTTTCAGAGTTTATCTCATTGTGAACTGATAACCGATGAAGGTATTCGGCATTTGGGCACTTCGCCATGTGCTGCTGAAAGTTTGACAGTATTAGAATTAGATAACTGCCCACTAATAACAGATGCCTCTTTGGAACATCTTATTTCCTGCCACAATTTGCAACGCATTGAACTTTATGATTGTCAGCTGATAACTCGAGTTGGAATTCGAAGGCTTAGGGTGAGTATAGCATAATTACTAGACTGAATAATGTATCATGTTTTTATAAGACTTGATATTTCAGTCTGAATTTGCTAAATGACATGCACAGAATATTGATTAACTGACATTTACATCCAAATTTTCTTAACAGTATAATTGTATCCATTACATTGAATACATTTTTGTTACATAATTATATTTGGAATTAATGTTGTTATGGCAATAAAATAAAACTTCATCATAGAAGTTTTGTGGTAGAATGGGAGAAAACAAATTCACAGTTGTTTCTTGGGGACTAAAGGTACGTGTAAAATGAAATTTTAATTGAATAAAATTGCTGAATATCAATGTGCATTCCCCTTTATATATGTGTTTTTATGTCATTTGAATCTCTTCATATGGAAATGAAAAGTCACTATTCATAAAATCTTAATTTTAAGTGATAAAACTCTGATGAAGTGTACCCCTCTACTTTAGTATGTTATTTGAAATTTGTTGAAAAGGGAATAGCCACTCTTTTATTTTTTTGACAGTAGCACAGTATTTTCATGTGCTATAAACTTATGACAAAAACTGCTGTCTTTATTTCCCATCAGAGGCTTGTGCTAGGCAGTGCCATCAGCCCATTCAGCCAAACTTACTAACAATAAATTTCATTACTTGAAAATCCATCTTAAAACAAAATACAGGAGAACATTGGATTCTGTATAGAAAATACGATAGCCCCAAACTAGTGAAAGCTGTGGATGTCAGTGTATTAAGCCTGATAGTATCATAACACCCTTAACCTCCAATGTACTGGTTTATTTAAAATTAAAATCTATTGACTCAGCCTTTGCAACTTACTATCTTAAAAAAAATAATAATAAAGGTAGTACATATTACACAATATATCTTCTTGATTAGACTTAAAATATTCCCTCTTTTCTATAGGATGGTGATTCACACTATTAGTATGCCCTGTTTTTAGAATGTAAGTGAGCGACATAACATCTTGTTATTTGTTATACCTTTTATCACCCAAACTTTTTTGATAATGTTGATAATGACTAGTTTATTTGGCATTACAAATTGTTGTATTATGATGGACTAAAATTGTTGCAGAATCATCTTCCTAACATCAAAGTCCATGCTTACTTTGCACCAGTAACTCCACCTCCTTCAGCTGGTGGATCACGTCAGCGATATTGTCGGTGTTGCGCCATTTTGTGAACTTCATTGTGGCCAGGGCTTATCTTTGTCAAGAACATTGTGGCTAAATTGTGAGGTCTGTTCCTCATGTCCTATCATGTCCTTCCTTGTTTATATATTTACAACAGTGATTAATTTGTGTGCATGTAATGTAGTCCATCGTATTACTCAAGTTCTGAACACATTCATCATAACTCCTTAATATAAAACTGGAAACCATTAAGTTGTACTCTTCCAAAGACAGTTTATGTGCATTGATTTGTTGTTTTTCTTATTCAGATGCAGCTTTAACTAGCTTCTCCAATTATCTGTTGAATTTCTTGGGATTTGAAACTGCTAGATAAAAAAGATTTTTCATTTTATGAGTAGTTTTGCTTCACGTCTGGGGTGTTTCTTTAATACTTGCTTTCAGTATATCAATGCGCATTGTTTTAAATCCTGAACACCACTATTTTCACTACACTTCACCTTCGATGCAGCTACACACTCTAGTACCTGTATATATATATTTTTATATTTGAAGTAGCCTTGTAGTTGATGAGTGAAGAAGTTTCTTTGTATTTCTTTGCTTTTATCAGCATCTTATTGCTTTTATTCTTGTGTGAATGTGGACAACGAAGTATCATCATTTTATTAACTCATAAGTAATATATTACCCAAACATTGCTAAATGTTGCTTTGCAGCCTTGTGCCTAGTTCCTTTTGTTTGTCCTGCCTCCCACCTTTTTTTTTTTTTTTTTAATTTTTTTAAAGAACCTTAAAAATATCACCCTAATAGGACAGACAGTGTTGTGATAGGTTATCAAGGCAACTAGGTACTTCTAAAATTGGTATGCTAGTCTCTAGGAAGGAGGTTCTTGACTCTCTTAATGGTGTGTGTGCTGATTTGATAAATTAATAGTGTGAATCTGTGAAAATGTGATGACAATGAATTTTTAATGTACATAAGAGTGCTGGAAAATTCAGGGACAAATTTTCCATGAGCATGTAACTATTTATGGTACAGTAATCCAGTTTCATCTGGCAGTGCCTCCTTGCATGTTATTTGTTGATATGCATTGTACTCTTTCTTTCTAGTTATTGAAATGGTAAGATACTGAAACAGTGTGCCAGATGATACACCTACAATGTAAATTTATATTAACTATCCAGTTGAATATTAAAATTTTTCTACCATTCTTATGTCAAAATATATTTGAAAGTCATTTCATTAAATAATTCTGCTTGTCAAATATTATAAAACTGCTTTAACAGTGTGATCCAACAAAAAGTATTTTAAATATTATTCTGTGATTCATAGTATTGAAGTTAAATTCACTATTAAATTTTATATTGTTATGGTTATTTTAATTTTATATTGTGGGTGGTTTGTGCTATTTTTAAATGTCTTGAGGCACTTGCTGTTGAGACTTTAAATGCTTGCTTGCAGTTTACCATTTGGTTGAAATTGCATTGAAAACGGACCATCCTCTTTGTAATGTCTATGGTAAACTTCTGTCTTCAGTTATGGAAGTAAGATCAACAGTTAAAACCAAGTTGGAAGTCATGAACTGAAATGAATGCAGAAGAGCAGAATATTTAGATTATGGAATCTAGTTGTATTAAGCTTGATATGATAAGATCAAAAATAATTGTATTGTATGAAAAACTGAATTTGATGCTGGAGTAGGTTACTGAGTGTTAAGTGTTTTGAACATTGTTGGTTGTGAAGAGATTACAATGACGAAGAATGTACACAATTATCTCTTCACAAAATGAAGACAAGAATCACCATAGTTTAGATAAAGTGTTTTGTGGAATATCTATGGCAAATACCATATTTGGGCTCGATAAGTCTGTTGTGGCATCCGTGGGTGTGAGGGTGGTTTATTTTCAGTGAAAACTTAAAAGAAGACCAACGATTCATGCAGAAAGGCAACTGGCAGTGCAGTGGAGGACACTTTATTAAGCCTTTCACAAAACTGTGATATCTCTTTGGAGCCAACCACAACATTATGAAGTGAGAGGAGATCCAAAATATAATAAACTAAAAAGAAACAAGTTATTTTTTATTGATCATGCACCAAGCATCTAGAATGCTGCTATTTCCATTGTTGCAGATCAAGTGTGTCGCTAGAGAATTGTCTATTACTGAACAGATAGCGTTCAAAATTTTTATCAAAAATTAATACACTTGAACCTCTTAGCCTGGTGCCCTTTTTATCATAAATGGTGAGGCCTATAGCTAATAAATTTTTATCTTCACTATGAAATAATTGTTTTGCAGATGGTAAATATAACAATGTTGTTTTGGAGTTCATGCATTACAATGCATAATTGTGATTTTTATCACAAAGAGGTTATTTGATAAGAAATTAGAATGTTGCAGGGAATGCAGTAAAATATCTGTAATTCATTCAATGTTTACTTGCTCTTATTTCAAATCAATAATATAAAAATATATTGGGAAGTATTTAGGTAATCTTTTTGGTTACTTATTAATATTTATGATAATAATTTTCAAATGAAATGTATGTTCTACTTTGGTGTCACGAGATGAATTTCATTGTATCTTATGCATACAGGAACAAGAAACTGCTGTTCAAATCTAAACAGTTTACTTTTGTAAAATGTTTTTAAGTTGCAAATTACTATATTGTATGTGAGGATTTTAACAGTTTCTGAAAATGGATTTGTAATTCGGCAAGAAACTCGTAAAGTTACATTGCTATTATTTATATTCCTCTTTTAAAAATCATACTCTTTTTCTATACAAATTAGTCTCCTTCTTGTTTCAGGATTTGTAGAGCTATATTCAGTGCTTTTGTTTGGCTAATTGTATGGATTATTTATATTCACAGGTGACTATTGCAGTAGGTCATAATATTATATGCTTGTTGATGCAAATATCAATAATTTCTGTGATTACATACATTTTCGAAAAATTATCACTTCTCATCTATAGTTCAAGTAAAATGATGCATAGTAAATCTAACATGTGTGATTCAGGAGTGATTTAGTTAAAATTAATAACTTTAGTCACAGTTGCCATTTTGAAATATTATTATATTATGTTTATGAAATCTGTTGTAACACGTCCATTCATAGAAATGTTTTCTTTATATGGTCTTTCTTTCTTCTTTTAAGTTGGAATTACTTGCTTCGGATAAAAGCATCACCCATTATTATTTCTATTTTGAATTTCTGTACATTCAGTCTACACTCGTGTTCATTCTCCTCTTTCCATTTTGTCATATAAATGAATTTTTTACTGCCTAAATGTCATCAAAATAGCTTTTCTTTTTAACATTTTATAATATGTTTGGCCTTGTGCCCTACAAGGTAAAGAATAGCTCTTGCTGTGGGATCTTTCCCAATAAAACTGAGTTTGCTCTTGAGTATGCCACATAAATATTACTCAATCAGACACATGGGTCTCAATGTTTTATCAAAACAGTCCTCAATCCATTTTAATCTGCAGATTTATACACGAACTGGCTCATGGTTTGGGAGCCTGATTGATGTTTTATGTTTTCGTATGTATAGAATGCTAATTTTTGAGAGTTAACATTTGTCACATTCATTCACGTACCACACAAACTCTTTTCTATTTTTGAATACTGAAAGTGTTCATTATTATCTCCTACGTGTGTTCAAAAGAGCTGTGATAAATGTAATTTATACATGCAAAGATTGCTTTTGACTGTCACCATAATACTTGAATGCTTTTGCACTCCCACCCAGGAGTGAAAAGAAATACACAAGGAATGAAGGTCATCTACTTGCTTAGGTTTAGGATAGGAGAAAGGAAAGTGATGCTATAGTGTAGGCCTCTGACTAATAACCCTTTGAAGTCCCTATTTCCTTGTTAAATTTTCTTAACAATTTTCATTCAAATCCAGCATACAATAAGGAAAAGGAGTTAGAAAAATCTCTACCTGCTGAAAATTGAATAATAATGTTACTGACAGAGTTAAATGTGTCAATAGGTTTTCAGTGTCTTGTTTCAGTATTATTTGCAGAGGGGATTTAACCTCTGCTTTATTAGAATGTCTTAGTTTTTCAGCGTCTAATAAGATCTCTGGGATCATGAATACTGTATTGTTAAAATGTTGCCTAACTAAAATTGCACATCATTCACAGGTCTTGCTAATTCCCCTGGATGTGTGTTTTGTTTTAAATACTGTAAAATTCTCTAATTCAGTGATAGCACCTTTAGTGAAGAGAATAATCCCACAAATATTGCACAATGATATTGGTTTCTTTTTGTATTTTCCGAGGGGAAGCTTTGTCCTGATTCCTTTTAATTCATTATATTATGTGAAGTGCTTGTGTGAGAAGCAACACAAAATCTGAGAACGTTTTGCAGAAATCTTGAAAATATGTTTCAAACACAAAGCAGACAATTAACGAACATGACCCATACAGCTATTAAAAGTAATCCTTCTGACAACTTGTATCTCATTTTTCCAAAAATTTAGTTCTTATAAGTTTTTGTAATGTAGTTCATTTTTAATCTCGATCTTGGTGTTTCTCAATAAAATACTTGAGAAATGTTTCTTTTATAAGAATTGTAATGGCAATTATAGTACAATATTACTTGTAAGAGACATATTTTACTGACTTTGAAAGGAGGAAGTTATTCACTTCGTATTATAATTTTTGTTTATTTGTTCAGCCATCATATTCATAATGTACCCTGATTTATATGATTGTTGCTGTGTATTAAAGGGTATAACCTCCTGGTGGTACCATGCTATATTTAATGATATTCTGGTAGTAGAGTACAAAGACATAATAAATAATGAAGTGGTGCAACACATTAAGTGGGCAAACCATAGCACCTGAATCATACACAGGATTTTTTCCAAAATTGATATCCTCCAACAGATCTGACTTAACTTTAGACCCTGCAAATATGAAATGGAACTTTTAATTTTTTAGAGTACTCAATTGTTGAATGAAGCTCTTATTTTTTTTAACCATGTGAACACATTCATTATTGAGGCTGAAGTTATTTTCTATAATGGGAACAATTTGTCAATATTAGCACTTTCAATGATTTTATGTTCAGTTTTTTCAAAATATTGGTAGTTTTCTTGTAATTCAAAATCGAGTCAATTTTCTGAAATTACATTAAACACGATTTTCACAAAAACTGCTCGATATTTGATATTTAAACATGTTTTACAGTGGGAGAACAAGGCTCTAAATCAAACAGCACCTGTGCAATTTTCATTGAAACTTCAATTTTCAAAAAGTACCCAAAAGTGTATATGTTGTTACTTCTTAGGGCTAAAGAGACATTGCAAGGAAGGAACAAAATATTTATTTTTCCACTGAGGACACTGAAAAGTTAAAAAATAAAATGATGTAAAACTGACTTGAGAATATAAAAAGGCTCTTAAAATTAATAATTTTGAGCAGTCTGTCTTTCAATAAGTATTTTTGGCATTTTAACTTGAAGTTTTATTTTAACACGTTCTTCACATTTGTGATATACGTCAACCTGGCTACATCCAAATGACAAAATGTTGCAAGAATAACTTCCTGTAAAATCCTGCTGTTAGGATTAATTATTACTAACAATTTGACAAACAGCACATGTCCTGGGCTGTGTTGGGTCTCTAGCAAACTTGAATTTTAAGCATTCATATTGACATGAATATTCTATAGATTTGTACTTGATCATTGAAAATATTAAAATTTGTGTTAACTCAATAAATATTCAAAAAGTGGATTTGAGTAGTTTCTCAAACAAATGGATCATGTTTACTACTTCAGTTGTAAACATCATTTTGAAAACATTTTATTATGTACCTAGAATTCAACATATTTTGAAAAACCTGTGTGATCTTCTTTAACACTTGTCTTTCCTACTTTCGTGCTTCAAATCTGGCACTTGCTCTCCGATTTTGAAACCCTTTTCTCTTCTCTTATTACAGAAATCCACCCTTTTGGACAATTATGAAAAATATTATTTTTAAACTAGCCTCATTGAATACTTGCATATTAGTGAATAATTTTTATTTCAATATTACATGTAATTCAAGTGTTCCACTTATCTTTGTGTGATAAATTTTTTGAGCAATGTTTTACTCTGAAGTAGTATCAAAATGCAATAAATCCTTTTTACAAATACAATGGACTCTGTAATTGGAACTATAAAGAGAACTTCAAAAAAGAATTGTTTAAACTTTGAATTACAAGGCAAGACCCATGGGTTTGGGGTCAGACCATCAGCTCTCTATCTTTGAGTATATGATTTGCATCCTGGTCAATGCGGTTGATAAATGGTGCATCATGTCTCGTTTGACAAAAACAGCTCATAGCAAGGTTTCTTGGGGTTCTCCTATTTTTCCCACCTCCCATTTCACCATTGCTCTATAACTTACATCACCAACATTCATTCTTCAGCTCCAGAGTGATGTAACAAGTTTGGCCAGTTTGCTTCACAGCTATACCTTGGCTAATTTTCAGAATAATTCACCTCAATATGGCAAGCTAATACGGTCATTGAAGTAAGCAATATAATTCATAAGACAAAAATTAAATTACCACCCTTTGAATTTTTCAGAAGCATTTATTTAAATAAATTAATTGTACCTCAGTAACTATTGAGATGTAGCTTTCCTTCAAAACAACCATAGTTATACTTTAGTCTTAAGTGCAAAGGTGCCAACTTGAAAATATTAGGGTGGCATTTAATATGTCCCTGATCTCTGATCTTATTTCTTAGGGTTCTTTCAATTTCAAGGGGTCCTTACCGTGATCATCTATCTTGTGATTCTTCAATTTCCAATTGATGTGTCTTGCATTTTATTGCATTGCAACCTTTTTCTATTTTAGAAAATTCAGCACTCTGCTCTTGAACTCTCTAAGCATTAAAAGCTGATCCTGAATATTCTTCCAATTTTTGGTTGGGACAACAATTTAATAGATTGAATGAATAGTACACTTAAAACATTTGATACTACTAAAGTTCTGTAGTGTGCAATACACTTTTCTAGTGTTTGAGTTATTTTCCGCACAGACAATTCTCAGTTTTACTGATAACACAAAGAAACAAGGCAATGTTCAAACCGTTGTTGATCCCACAGTGTCCAAAGTGGTGTGACAGTAGATTTTCTTGAAGTCTTCTTTCTCTCGAAAAATAAGATCTGCCATTCTTCTTGAAATTTTAATATAGAATCTGATGTATTTTTGTCAAAGTAGCTTCCTGACATGATGTATAGCATTGTAATGCATTTGTTGAGCCCTTAATTTCATGGACAGTGAAAAAATTATGATAAACATTTTCATTCAAAGCATTTCATGTGTTACAAAATGCATTTGTTAGTAAGCTTCACAGGTCTTCAAACTTATTTTTTTTATTTCTCTTTGGGTTGCCAACCATCCTCTATTTCAGAGGATAGACATCCATTGTTAAAAATTGTGCTCCCTCCTCCATTTGTAAATAATGTCCTCCATTTTCATGCAAGTGAAATAAATAATAAAATATTTTTTAATAATGTTTGTGCTTTTCACAGATTTCTAATCATTAATATAATGAAGATTTTTAACATCTTTAGTACTAAATGCTAAGAGTAATATTAATCTTTGTTTAAGTTGTGAATTTAGAAAAGAAAAATTAAAACAATTTTTGTGTATTCATACTGCACTTTGATTTGGTTGCTTACACAGGTAATTTCAGTCCTGATTCTTTTTACCCCATTTCCTCCTAGTCTTTTTTTTATTTTAGTTGGGAGTTGGTGACCATAATTTCACTTCTTATAAAATGCATAATTTTTGATCTCTCAAGACGTATTGTTGGCAGTGTTATCAGTAGTTCAAAACTTTGTTGGAAGAAGTTGAATTTTGTTTTTGTTATGAAGTAATTCAGAGAAAATATGTTGCCTATTGCACACCATACTGCATTGATCAGTGCATCAGGTGATAATATTCATTGTTACCTGTTATCATTCATCGTACAATCTATCATTATTAGAGACGTAAAATTAACTGGCAATCTTCTATCTATGGTAGTATCATGGTTGTTATAATTCTTCATTATTAATTATATCACATATTTTATTGATACAATATGTCAAGCCAAAAAATATTAAACCAAAAAAAAAATATTTTTTTAAATCTTTTTTATTTAAATATATAAATTAATGTATTATGAATTATTAGTTTTTTTTAACTCCTTCAGATGAGACAATGTGCTTACAGCATTTAGACACCAACAAAATTTTCATCAAGGTAGACTGGTAAAAAATTATTCTCTGTAAGTTTCCTAGTATTTTTAAACTCTGCTTAAATTAAATTTGTTTTGTTGATTAAATTTATCTTTATTCTGAATAACCCATCACCAACTCAAATGGGAGTTTCAGAGATTATGCATCATGGATCTCCATGCTTGACAGCAATTTCCTTAAATCAGTATATCACGAGCCATATGAAGATGGTCACCAACTCATTATTCTACCCTTCAAGTAGGATGGGGGAGGAAGGTTTGTGGTTCAGTGTTTAAAGTACTGCTCCAGCATTGCATAGAATTGATAGGAGAAAACCACACAAATTACCAATCAGAGTTGCTGGCATCTAGAATTTTTATCTAGGCAGTGTAGGTTTAGTAAGTGTTGAAAATCTTTGCACCATAGGGATTCGAACATGGGTCACATATGGGTCTATAGAGTTGAACGGTTCAGTTTCAGACTCGCAACTACACATGCTATCGCTGCCAGTCTTTCATTGATTAATGATTGTTTAAATTGGTACTCCTAATTTATTTGACATAAGGTAAGACTGCATTTATAAAAATAAAAAAAAAATTGTAACTCAGAAATGAGTATTGCATATTGCCTTCTACAGATCAATAGGTAGGGCAACTTGATGGGTTGATGACGAGGGTTTGGTATGGGTAGTGAAGATTTTTCCTTATTTTTGATGATTTGTAATAGCTCTCAGGAACTTGTTAATGTTTGCCTTTTGTTATGGAAAATAATTTAGTAGTGCTCAATCTCTGCATGTTATTTATACTAGACTTGTCAGAATTGTTTAAAATAAAATGTATTTCAACATTTTTAGCACTGTAATTCTTGTTTTATTAACATTATGTTTGTAGTGTTTCAATCTAAAAATGTGTGATATACTGGATATTTTCTATACTGATTTTTAAGTAATAAATAGTAGCATACAAAAAGCAAGAAATATTAAGAAATTTTCATTTAGGGCAACGATGTAAAATGTTCTCTTAACACTAAATCATTTATACATTTAATTATTCAGTAAAAATGTTGTGTTGGCCTTAACAAAAATACAGTTTAAGAAGTTTCTTAAAATATTATTCTATCAACAATAGAAATAATTTATTTCCTATCAAGAATAAGAGAACAAATTCATGTGTTGAAGTGTAATGTGAAATCTCATCAGGAAATGATAAGTGAAAAGCTGTGATGGATTGGAGAAAGCAGATAGAACTTGTAAGGAAATGGGAAGGGTTAAATGATTTAAGTGATGAAGGTTTAGCTGTTGGTGTATATTTATCTTCTAGTGACTAACCAAATCCATTATCATCTCATTTCTTTACAATTCTCAGTTTATATTTTCATGCCATGTTCCTAAAGGTTGGATATTAAATATTTCCATATGTATATTTGCAAAACACACTTATTCTATTCTTTCTGTTCTCTCTTTCAAATATAAGTGTTTGTAAATCAAAATGAAGAATCAGAATGGCAACCTGTTTAAACATTATGTAGATGCATTATATTTATTGTAGCCCATCAAGGTGGCAACACACAAAACAAGCAAAATTTGTGTGTTCTGTAGCATTAATCACATACATAGTCAAAGAAAATAATTTTTGAACTTTACTTTTCTTTGAACTTTCTTCCATGTCTGCTAACAGAAGCAGTTTCTTATTTAATTTTCAGCATTGAAAACAGACAGACATTAGTATTGTAATGGGTTCTTTGACTTCAGGTCACTGAGAAACTGAAGTAACTTCCTGGCTTCTTCACTAAGAAAATTTCATGCTAGTTGATAATTTTATATAGAAGACAATAGATGCATGGACATAAAAAAAAAAAAAATTAAAACTGAAACATCTGTAGAAAGCATTTCACTTTGGAAGATCAACACTTTTATCAACAAAGAAACAAAACTACTTAATTAAGGTTTTCCATCAAGTTTATAATTCAGCATTTCTACCATTTAGTTCTCATATTGCAACTTCTGCAGATGCAGCAATTATGCATATTAAGTGTTCATAACAGAAATAAATCAAAGAAAAGGGACTAGGTGCTGTAAATTATAAAATTGAAACTTGGATTTAGAATAGTGTTCACATAAAACTTGTGTAATTCTGTTTTGTGTAGATTAAAAAGTATTCATACTTTTTAATTTATATGGAGAAATTTTAATTCATTAGGGAAATTCATCATACATTAGAATTGTATTTTATGACATAAGACCTTTGGTTAATTTTTGTATCTTTGATAAAAGGAACATTAAATAATGAAAACTGCAGATGTCTATTAACATAGATAAAACAAGTATGAGTCTTTTTCCATATCAATAGGAATGGTGTCAATTTTGGTGTAGCCTGTAGTTTCTTTTCTAATTAATATGAGAAAAGGTCCGATTATTATTCAGTGCCTTTCTAACAGAAAACCTGCCTACTGTGAAGCAATAAAAATCATTTTAGATATCAAATACTTGAAGTTGTTGTTTAGAAATGTTATTTTTTAGATGAACATAATGATATCAGAAAAAGTGCTGAAATTCAATTGTATGACTTGCATGGTTCTAACCTGGATTTAGAAAGTATTTTTAGTGTTATTTAAAACTCCAATGGCAGTAAATTTGCTTGTCTTGATAGAGCAGAGTTCTTTTACATTTTGAGGAAAAATTATAGGGCCAAAATGAAATTTTGTGTTCTAGTTGAGTAACAAAAATGTAAGTGAATAATACTAAAATTTCATTGTTGTATTTTGCATGACATTCATAATCAATATTTTCTTCATATTTAACCAATATATTGCATTTCACATTTAACCAATATATTGCATTTCACATTTACATAAATTTGGAAAGGCACATATGTGGAAATATATTACCATTATTTATTATGACTATTAGTGAAAACATAGAGCTAAGAAAATGCTCTATAAAACCCTTGAAGAAAATTATTCCATGCCTTGTGTAAGAGAAAAATGAAGTCATTCTGATGATATTTGCAAATGCTCTTTGCTGCGATCTGACTTAAGTTGTGAAGGGTAACATTCTGGTAGATTCAGCTTTCATTTACTAACAGTTACTGCTACTCTAATGCTTGTTTTTGCCACATAAATATCATCTTATAAGCTAACACTAAATAAAATGAGTATTACCTTTCTTATAAATGTATTATCATATGAAATGCTATTGAAATTGAACAAGTAAATAAACAGTAATTAATTCATAAGGATGGTAGGCCACTTAAAACAAACATTTCAGAATGTTAATTGTCCGTGACTTATGTAATCAGGGCACTCTTGGCTAAATTTCAGGTGTGTTAAGATGCTATGTTACATGCAGAGATTTACTCAACAAAAAAATCTTATGTCACTGTTCCATCAAGTTGTATATTCATTATTATAATTAAAATGATGTGTTTTGTATTTCTACTGAGAAGCAATCATACCTTTTGCCATGATATTCACAATTTTGTATTTCATGAAATGATTAGCATCAAAGTATTAAGAAACCATAAAAATACTCTTGGGAAGATATAATATTAAGGGGTTAAGGGAGTAAATTATATTTTATTGGTAAATAAATTGGGGAAAAGTTTACTGCCCAGTTCATATTTCCCTGTGGATGAGGCAATAGTAGCAAATGTTGAATTATTTATTTTTCAAATCAATTTTCAATAGTGTAGAGAGAAGTAATGTATTGCGAATAATCTTAGAAAACCATTATTTCAAAATCTCCATGATTTTCATTTGTATAAACTGATCTCGCTTTTTAAACTAATTTTTATTAGTTGGAGACCTTCAAGACACAGTTGGACAACAAGCTTTTATAGGTAATAAGATATTTTGCTCACACTGTTTTATGTTTTATTGTAATTATATTTTGTAATCATCTCAAAGGAGTGAAAGATTAGAATTTTGAGTATTTTGTATTGACCATGTTTCAAAGTCTTCATATGAATTAACACTGACAAATTTTCTTTTGATTAATGTGCGTTTATGGTATTCAGATGGATGGTATGTATCACTGTTTTTTAGGAACTTTCATTCTCCTTTGTTGATTGGAAATATTTATCTTGATTTGATATTTATTTTCAACTATTTTAATATTTATGTTATCCCTTGCAGTGGTAAAAGATGCTTTAATTTCATGGCCCACTGAATTGTTTAAGGTCCATTACATTACATTTTCTAAGACTATTGAATTTGTCTGTAACTAAATAAGTATTCTGAAAAAACTGCAGAACCCAAGCCTAACCATTTTTCTTTCAAGAATAACATCTACTTGTTAGAATTCTAGTGCTTTTTAATGAGAAATTCGAGAAAAATGATTGTAATGAAATGTGTTTTGCCAGTGTTTTAAGGGTATTCAAAAGCGTAATATTGTCAGAGATATTTTAAAAAATTTGGCTAAATATGATTGGGATTTGCATATTTTGTTGATAAGGAGTTGGATTTCAGGTATTCCTATATTTCATAATTGATATTGCTTTAAAATTATGTGTAATATTTGTATTTTTGAGCAGGCACTGAGCAAGATGCGCACATTGTCGAGTCCACTGAAACTCCCCTAAATGTTGCCCAGCAAGTTCAAATCTCAATTTTTCAAGCTTCGAGTTCAGATTGTGCATACATCTATTATTTTAAAATAACATTAACAAATATAAATATTTTGAATAATTGTATAATTACATATACTTAATATATTATTACATCATGTTATTATATTAATTAAATAAAATATTCCAGTTGCATTCTGTTGAGAAATTTACCATACTGACCCCATACTGGTAAATCTCCATGTTGTGGGCAAATTATTGAATTGAATTTCAAGTATTAGCCTACTCGAAAGTTTATAAATAAATGAGAAAACTGTCAGCATAATTTTTAATATTGTTGACTAGTTTACTCTTTTGTTCATTTTGTTCCGCGAGTCACAATTATTTTAAATACTGGTATTAGGTATGATTGTCCAAGACAAGTAGCTTAACAATGTGTGCATGTCTATTGCAGTTTTTAGCTTCTCTGCCCTATTGAGTAGATTAAGCGATAACAATTTTAAGACTGAGATAATTAAGAAATGTTCATTGGATGTGTGTATTTTGTACTGCAAAAGAACTTAAAGATAAGCTGTTCTATTCAAAGAATCCTAACACTTTGCATATGGATGTATATTGATGTTCTGAAATAAAAACGTTACATTGTTTTAACTGAATATATGAATTTAAAATGCGTATATATAACTTTTATAGAACCTCTTATATGTATATTATATATAAGAACTGCATTGATGTGTAGTTTCTATGTTGAGATGCATTCTAATTTTTGTCTTGCTCCCACCAAGCATGTGGAAAAGCTTTCCTTCTGAAAAAATTGTATCTGTTACACTAATGTTTAATGTCAAAACTTTGTTAATAAAGTATTTAAATGTTTGAAAACTATATTTTTGTTATGTCTTTTGTTTAATGATATTTTAAAAAACATTAAATTATCCTGAACAGTTTGTTTGCAGTTCAGAAGGTTCAACTAGAATTTCAAATAATTAGTATAATTACATTGAATATAAAACTGATTCTTTGTCTGTATTTATTGTCAGTCATTATTTGTTTGTATAGTCCGTTTTACTGGCTAGTCTTTGTAAACTTTGATTTTAAAGTCTTAAAACAAATTTCTAAGTGCCTCTAACAAGTGCTCATCAGACATTAATGTAGTTTGTGTATTTGTGAAATAAAAGCAATGGGAATGCTTGTATTAAAGTGCAATTTGCAAAATTACATTCTACAAACCTTTTTGCTATTTGTATTTTATGGACATTCATTGAACAAGAAAATTGAGGATCAGTTTGCTCAAAGCTTTTTGTAGAATGTTTCTCACTTAAATGTATTTTTTTAAACAAATTTATCAATTTACGAATTATGATAAATAGTGTACGTTTTTCTGATAACTCACAGTTTTAAGCATTGTAAGTTTAATGGTAAATGCCCAAGTGCAAAGCTCTTCATAACACATTAGATATTTAAAGCTTGAAATCCTTGGCCTGACCTTCCAGCTGAATACTCGTTTTCGAAGAGTTAGTGGTGTTGCTGCGATGATTTATTGTACTAGTTTAAATTTATATTTCCTGGGAACATTTAATACCTTGTGGGTGACAAAAAAAATAAATCTATTAGGACCCCTGCACACAATCGTTGCGTTGATGCGCATTAAGTAATGCACGCTGAGCATTAATCTTATGCGAAGCAGCTCACGAGCGCTTTGGCCGTTCCACCTAAGTGACTGTGTTAATCTACGACGCGCGTCAATGCAACGCTCGTATGGCATGTCTTATAGGTGATACCCAAAACCACTTGAGGGGGGGTGTCTTTGAAATGGTCAACAGACTGTAGAGGCATATTTACTATTTCAGATGTTTTGTCTTATTTCAACATTCACTCAAAATTTTTCATATGAGGTTGATCGAAATAAAATTAGTATTGTTGCATACTAGGGAACGAATTTCTACAGCTTAACCACCAGCTTTTTCATCAATAAACTCCGCACTAAATGTTTCGTTAATGCTTTAGGGTGCAGTGTGAAGTAAAAAGTTGCTCTAGAGGTATACAAATTGTCATTTGAAGCAAATTTTAGAAAGTACCTTGCGATTCCATACCACATTTTGATGCAATTTTTTTATGCAGAGTCCCACATATCTCAGAGGATCCTGTCTTCTTAAAAGGAACAATCGGACATCGAAATAATTTTGATGAAATGCTAAGCACTGCAACTGAGCTTGCTAATTTGTGAATTGTAGATGCAGTTTCCTCTACCCCACCTACATGCAGGCGAAAAAAGAAAACTATGTTCGGTAATGAACATTATGACAGTACAAATGATTCAAAAGAAAACTTCCGCATACGATATGAACCGCATTCCCGAATAGACAACTATTGTTGACACTACAGTTTCATCTATAGAGGAAAAATTTCAATTGCTTAAAGAGCAAAGTTAAACGTTTATTTTTGTATTTGTCTTCAACAAACTAGCAGAAATTAGTTAATCAGACACATTAAACTAGTGATGCTACAGAATGGCACAAACTTTTCCGTATTAGTTTTCTATTTCCTTTCGTCTCAGCTAGCTCTATGAACGTGCCACCTACTCTTGCCAGATGCCATTTATCGCTGCCCAAAGTACATTTTCTTAATTTTTCTGTTTCCTTATAAGAGAACGGGAATGTTATTTTATGAATATTAAAGAACAGGAAAACCTCGCCCTAAATTGCAATTTTCTTTGAAATATTTTCAGCCGTTTTTAAGAAAATGACGCTTAAGCGCTACTGTAAATTAAAAATTGGAAACTTTTACACAGAAAATTTTTGAGTTTTCTGAATCTTAATTTCAAGTCATATGAAGGACTTTAACTCACAATTACAGTAGTGTTTACAAATTGCTGGAAATACGCATATTACTGGCGTGGGATATCTTTAAAAAAAATATCGCATTTGTGTAATTTTTGGGGAAAAACAAAAACATACACTGAAACGAACATTTTGAGTTAGTTTTCACACAAAAAAGTGTTGAATTTTCTAGAAACTTTATATGACATTATTTAAAGCACATGTACTGATAAATACAATAATTGGAACAAATTTACGCTAATATAAATATTAACGACATGAGAGTCAAGTCAAAATAAAATTGTAATTTTTATAAAAACAGAAAATTTCGAGTTTAACCTGAAAATCGGACCCATGCCACATTTATTAGTGTATTTTACTCTATTCTTGCAAGAAATTTAAAGAAACATTTTGTAGTTGTTTTCGAGAAAATTTTGAAAGCGTCCCGGGGGCTTGATGTAAAGTACCCCCAAAGTTTAAAGAATGTTTTTTAAAAACTCAAGGCTTCGACTCGAGCTAGATGGACAGGGGTTTCTTCAATTTGTAAAAAATCCTACGGATGGGATTGGGCGCTATGGTGTTCACGGTCAGAAGGACGTTCAGAGAAAAAAAATTCTGTGTCAGGGGACCCCAAAACGTGTATTTCCGTTGAAATTTCGAAATCGATTTTCCGCAGCATCACATAGCTTTCCCTATACTATGTATAATAATCCGTATATACGTACGTACACTAGAAAGTAAAAATTGCATGGATCTATAATTTAAAGTGACCGATTAAACAGTCCAAAAGATGCAAATGCACTACAACTTGCAGATGTACTAAATACAATCATGAAATTTCTCAAATGAAAATCATCAATTGAAGTATTAGAATTCAAATATCAAAAAAGAACTTCGTACGGCGAGAAAGTAATAAACTAACAAGACCATTCATTAATATTACTGTGATATTGCAAAGTTTGCCAGTTACAGTAGCCACCGGAGAAAGATCATTTTCAAAATTAAAAACTTTTAGTCTAAAAACTTCTTACAATCAACCATGTCACTAGAAATATTAACAAATCTGGCAATGATAACAATTGAAAGTGAAATTTACAACAATATTTATTTACAGAGTTTCATAAACAAATTTGTTTGAAAGTTCCATAAGTGCCTTATTTTATGTTCTACATAGATAGTATTTTCTATTTAGTAAATCTATAATAACATTTCAGTAAATATACTATTTTAAAAAACTAAACTTTTTTATCATCAAAAGTATGTAATTAAAGTATTCCTTTTGAAAGCGGTAAAATGTACTTGCACAAGGGTGGCAAATCAGTGCGCGACGGCCCTGGCTACTTGAAACTTTCCGATGATTCAGAACTGGAACTGGATGATGCTTCTGATGAATAGGACATACTCGAGGAAGGAATTCGGAGAATGAACAAGAATTAGATCCCGATGAGGAGACAGAATCCTTGCAACATCAATATTTTCGCGGAGGTAAAGACTCTCCTTTTCATTACGGCAAAGATGCAATAAGAATGCGACAGAAAAATATTATTTTGCACCTTCCGGGTGTCAGGGGGCCAGTTAGAGGAAAGATTTGGAGAGATTTTTTGATCGAGAAATTCTTGCAATGATTGTAAAATTCACAAATCAACATGTTGCCACTCACGCGAAAGGAAATTACGATCAAGAATACCAATCTAAAGAAGTTAACTGTGATGAAGAAGACCTCCTCATAGACCTCCTAATTTTGAGAACAGTTAAGAAGTCACGAAAAAAAAAGTAGAACTGTTCTTCATAGATGGAAACTTGCCCGAAATCTTTCGCGTAGTTATGTCTCAGCAACGCTTCTCTTTCCTACTTTGCCACATACGTTTTGACATTGAGACCAGATCGCAGAGAGTGCTGTTAGTTTGACTTGCTCCTATTCGGGATTTGTTCGAACTATTGGTTTGCAAATGTAGACAGTATGTCAGTTTGCCTTGGTTGATGAAATGCTCTTAGCGTTCTGAGGAAAAGCTGCCTTTAGGCAGTACATTGCTTCGAAATCGAATAGATATGGAATCAAGGTATGCGCTTTGTGTGATGCAAAGCTGTTTTATACCTCAAATATGAAAGTATACATTGGACAACAGCCAGAAGGATCAAAGTACGCAGTGACTAACAATCTGAAATATGTAATGAAGATAATTATACAGCCTATTTCTGGAACGAGAAGGAATGTTACTGAAGACATCTGGTTCACCAGCGTTGAGCTTTGTGAAAAGTTAGTCAGTACAAACTCACCATCAGAAAAAAACAAGCATCAGCTTCCTTCTGAATTCAAAGACATTAATTCCATCCAACATCCATGGATTCTGTGAAGACTGGAGTCTGTTGGCATTCATTCCAAATAAGCAAAAATGTGTTACTAAATTCATAGATGCACGATGATGACGTCGATGAAGAAACAGCAGTCGAAAATTGTTCTGAACTACAACAAAAGTAAAGTTGGAATCAATGTTGTAAACCAACTTTCTGCCAATTTTAATGCGGCCAGAAATAATAGGCGCTGGCCCATGGTCTTATTTTTCTCTATGATCAAGGTCGCAAGTGTAAACATCCAAGTTATCATTAGTCAGAATGCACCGATCCTGAATATCGTTCGTAGAAAATGTCTATCCGGTTTGGGAATGAACGTTGTATAAAACCATCTTCGCACCCGGGTGACAGTGAAAAACATCCCAAAGGAAATGAATTTCTATCGTCTGCAAGCTTGAAAAGAACCAAGATGATACATGTTATCGAAAATGCCAAATTTGTAATTGGAAGAAAAACAGCAAAAATAACAGTGTCGGAAGTGCAAGGAATTCATGTGCCTTGAGCACACAGAAGCGTTGTGCACTGAGTCTATGTAAGTATATTACGTGAGTCTATTACGTAAACAGTGGGTAGTGATTAGGTGACGATCTTATTAGTTTAGCCAAATGGCAAACACGTTTAACTAACAAGTTTTACAAACCTGACACATCAGATCGCTTAAATAACGATATTCTTATGCTGTTCATGAATTCTGACTTAACTTTTGCTCACTATTTCACATTCGCTTACATCGTGGCTTATGCTAGTTTTATTGGCCCGTTTTTCTTGAAAGTGTTTGAGGTATTATAGTCTTTATGATGTCTGATCCATTGTTACCGTTCACATTTTAATAAGCATAGGAAACTCAAATACCCTGTCTCAGAGACCAGCCACACTGCCGTTTCTTCTTATTTTGCCACACTTACGCAGAGTTAAGGGGGAGCTCCTAAAAAGTAAACAAACACAATGAGGAATATAATACTTCTTACTTACTATTCCCATTGCATCTACTTCCTCACAATAGTTTACGTAAAATACGTACCGGTAATAAGACAC